TTTACTTTTTCTGTTATTCTTCATACCTTCCTGTATCTCTTCATTTCTACTTGGGATCATGTTCCTTCTGAATTCTCTTTAATATTTCTTTTAGTACAAGTCTGCTGCTGATAAATTCTCTTAGTTTTTGTTTGTCTAAAAATATCTTTATTTCACCTTCATATTTGAAGGATATTTTCATTGAGAATTTAAATTCTAGGTTGGCAGTTAATTTCTTACAGAATTTTCAAAATATACCATTGTCTTCTGGCTTCCATAACTTTTTCTTAAGAAGTCAGAAGTTTTATTGTTGTTCCTTCAAAGGTAATATTTCTACTGTCTAGTTGCTTTTTGAACTTTTTTCTTTGTGTTTTGTTTTCAGCAATTTTATAATGCTGTACCTAGGGGTGTGTGTGTGTATTTATCTTGTTTTGCAGTGATTTTTGACTCTGAGATTGTGTATTTCATCAGTTTTGAAAAGTTCTCAGATGTTATCTCTTTATATGTTGCCTCTAACGTATTCTCTCTCTCTCTCTCTCTCTCTCTTTCTCCTGGGATTTCAATGCTTATGTGTTAGACTAATTTACCATGTCCATTAGTTTCATATTCTCTTATATACATTTTCCATTCTTCTGACCTTTAGTGTTTTGGTCTAGATTTTCATCTGACCTATCTTTCAGTTTACCAATTATTTCTTTAGCTAGATTATAATCTGTCCATTGAGTTTTAAGTTTCAATTATCATATTTTTCAGTTCTAGAATGTTGATTTGATTCTTTTGCCCAAATTTTCCTCCTAGTCATTTAATTTCTTTTTTTTTTTTTTGAGACAGAGTCTCACTCTGTTGCCCAGGCTAGAGTGAAGTTCATATCTGATAATTACAATGTTTGTATCTCCTGACAATCTCTCCATAGTTACTTAACACCAAAAAAAGAAACAAACAGTTCTTGCTAATTATGTTCTAGTTAATTTTGATGGATTTTAATTGAGTACCAGATATTGAGTATAAAAAACTGATGTGATAATTTGAGTTTCTGGATGATATTATCTTCCTCCAGAGAGAATTTACTTTTCCTTCTGGCATGTGCTTAGGCTAGAAATAGATCATGTAAATCCAATCAGGGAATGAAATGTTTCAAAGCTCGCTTCAGTCCTTGCCATAGTTTGTCTAACTCAGCAGCATCCTTCCTGAAAAGAATCTCATCTGAAAGCCTGGTGTGATTACCAGAGCTTTTCCTCTTAGTGGGCTCGGAATTTCAATTTGTGTCTTCTCTTCCCTATGACAATGCCTGATTTTTTTTTTTTTTAACTTCTAAGTCTTTTTGTCATGGCTTTTTGCTTTGCTTCTCAGCCTACTAAGCTTTACTTTGGAATTGGCAAATGCCTTGAAGCAAAAAGCAATGCCAAATATTAGGCTTACATCTCTGGGTTTCCCTTCTCTCTGTGGTATTTATTGCACAAGTCCTTATTGCATTGATAACACTGCAATATATTAATAGCTTTCAAATAATGGTTTTATTATATTTAGTCTTGATATTTGATTAGATTGAACCACATGAAATTTGCTGTTTTCGTATGTCCAAATGGTTGCATACTGACAATATCATACGGTTCAATCCAATCTATTCTCAATAGAAGGGTTGGTCTGAAACAAAGCATTATACCACTGCTAGAAGCTGAGTTCTCAGAATCTAAGGTTAATGTAACCAAATGCTATGGGAATACTAAGTGCCACAAAGATAACATACATATATTCATATATAATGTGTATATTCATCAGTGAATATTTTTCCTATGGAGTAAAGTATGCTTCTTACTTCTGATGGCAAATCAATTGCACCAGAAATCTCAATGTAATGAAAAAAGTATCTGTGTGCCTGAAAACATTATTGCTACAAAACTGACCTAAAAAATTTTGCAACTCATCTTTTTCTCTCTTTCTTTTTTTTCTAAAGGATTGCTTATGGATGCCCAAATGCATTAAGTTCGGATGGTTCCTGCCTTATACTCCAACAGATAATGAGTTTGGGGC